CAGTTATCCTATGGTTTCTGGTCTGTACTACAAAATTTCAGTCTTCAGTTTAGATTTGGGAATACATCCCCAAGAAAGTTAGTCCCCATAGTACTTATTGATTTAGTAAGCCTAAGAATATCCTTGCAATGGAGACACAGAAAAATACTATGAATAAAACCTAGTTAATGTACATCAGCAAAGATGGCTTGTTCTTCCGAGGAGTACATTGGTTCTTTTGGAGATTCACATAGCAGCATCATATAGACCTTGACCAGCACACATTTATCCCATGTGTGCATCCCAGTTCATCCATACATGAGTGAGAAGCACGATTATACTTGATTTCCTTATAGAGGAGGAAAACTGTGAGTTCCTGTTTTCTGACAGCTTCAGCCCAGAAAACAAGAAGCTGGAGCAAGACAGGCAGACTTCCACTTTCCTTATGACTAGGTGAAATAATAACTTGCCTGCATTTGTGTTTTTGTCTTTGTAAAACCCAGTTGTATACTTACCAGAGAGACAGAAGCTCTCAAGGTTCAAGTGTTCAGGCAATTTGAAGTATTGTTTATAATTGTACACATTTTGATTAAAAGTTAAATGAAAGTGAAATGGCTTGGCATGCAAGATCAGCCTCTTCACAGCTTCCTGTGGACACGAGAAGAAGAGTGTCATTAGATCTGTAACCTTGCAAAAACCTGAGTTTTTCTGCTTCTTGAAAAAGAGAGGTGAACAAATATTGTTCTGATTTGGTGATACTATTAGACTGCCCTCACACGTGGGTATATCACATCACAAAGAGAAAAGTGGAGAGGAGTCAGCAGTCCACTGAAAACGTCCTTTCCCTTACAGGGTCAAACCCTATAAAAATTCCAGCATAAACATTCCAAAACTTGATATAAAAGTTACCTAAGGATTCTATTTACATCCGCTGTTTTACCAAGTCAATAATGTTATGCTGTGTTGTTTTAAATGAAGACCAGATACAGGCTCAGGTTATACACCTTCGAGGTTTAAAACTCCAAATTTTAGTTTTGCAAGTGGTCTCTAGTTTTATGAAAGGTCGATACAAACAGACAGATCTAATTTCCTCTGCAGTATAGAGTACTCACAAGGGAGGCTGTGGGTCTGAATTTCTGACCTGAAATTGTGGGCTGAAAGGGTGTCTCCAAGAGGCATCATTTTGATTTCATCCTAAACCCTGAGCCATGCCTATGTTTGTTTGCCAGAGCTTGCTTTGACCCCTGCCAGTGTTACTAAGGTGTTACGAGTATTGGGGATATCCCTGTGCATGCTCAGTTGCAGGCTCAGTGACCTATTTACTTTATGAATTTATGAAAAAGGACTTCATAAAAGAGGCAGCCCCAATGTTTTATTTAAAGCCACAGGGGCACTGACAAACTGTCACTTCTGTGGAAGCTTTAGGCTTTCCTCTGCAGTGCACCAAGAGATGGTTTATCTGAAATCTCTCTATCTGGCTCTGTGTCCTGGCATCTCCTCATGGCTGTGGGCAAAAAGGTGGAGATAAACACAGTGATGAGAACTGATATCAGGAGCTGCTTTGAAGACACCCTCTCTAACACTAATTCAGATGGTAAAATTCCTTCTCTGCCACAGCTACCAGCACAGAAATATCTTCATTCTATTTCAGTACGACCCCATGTTTTAAAGGGTATTATAGCTCCTGTTAATGTCAAGTAACAGAAGTAAGTTATTGCAGAGCTGAAGCATAAATAGAAAAGAGGAATAGGCAGCAGCAAACTGCTGACACTTCAGCTGAGACTTGGCAAGCCTGGCTGGAAATGCTTGTCCCAGCAATACACATCGCATTTGCAGAGTATCTTCATGATTGCCTCTGTGTACAAAGTTTATATCGTCACTGACCTTTTTTTTTTTTTTTTTCCCCCTGACAATGCAAAGGCAAACATTTAGTGTAAAGAACTTTTCAAGTAGTTCTGTATTTTCCTGGGTGTATATATATATAAACACTGCCATATGCTCACTTATTTTGTGTTGAATTTGGTCTGCAGCTGACCTGTGAATTTTAACTTTCAATGAGAATTATGCTTCTAAGTCTCTGAGACACTTTGTAAAATGCCATCTTTGAGTAAGATGCCTGGATACTGTGCTGTAGACAGGTCATACGCTTATGTTCAGAAAACAGCCACACTTTGTGACCTCTGGGAGGATACAAAACTGTTTTGTTTCCAACGGAAAGGGGCAGTTGTACCTGCCAGTGGAGCACCCATGATGTCCCTTGAGAAGAGGTGTGGAAATGCCATGCTCTTTAGCCACCATGAATTGTTCTCATATTTGGCAAGATAGGTTTTGTTGTCCATATCTTTTTGTCACAAAGGACATTGTGACTTGCTTTAGTTGGAAAAAAGTAAGTCCTTCTCTAACAAAAGTTCAAAAATATATGAAATGTGTGAATGAATTTGAAGATAGAAGAAACCCCTGCAATGCTTTTCCCATCTGCATATCATTGTTCATTTTCAAGGGATCTAATATGGTTTTGTTCAGAGTTTACCTTAAGGTAGTAGTTCAATGCAGTGCTCAAGCTGGGATAGTCACTAAAACCAAGGATATGTGCTAAACTGAGATGTAATGCAGCAGTAACTTGTGAGCATGCTGTAACTCACCAGTAGCAGTTGAGCACTCTGAAGCAAGACATACTTTGTGCCATGACTAATTACAATATCAGTGTATATTGTTCAGCAATTAGTAAATTCTGCTAAAAATCTCCATTTTAAATGGTCTCTTCACTGGTGTTTTGTTCTTCCATCAAAAAAAAAAGGTTGCTCTATAATGATGTATCCTGTGATAGAAATGATACATATATCTCATATATATGATGTATAATATATATCATGATACAAATGTTACATATATATATATTGTATATATATGATTTATTTTTATATATATCATATATATACAAATATGTATGCACACATTTCTATATATCTATTTATATAAATCTATGGCTTGGCTTCACCAAGAGCAATTCTTGCCTGACCAACTTAGTGGCCTTCTGTGATGGAGTGACTACATCAGTGGACAAGGCAAGAGCTACAGATGTCATCTGCCTGGACTTCTGTAAGGCCTTTGACACAGTCCCCCACAACATCCTTCTCTCTAAATTGGAAAGTTATGGATTTGATGTATGGTCTGTTTGATGGACGAGGAACTGGTTGTATGGTCTCATCCAGAGGGTAGTGGTCAACAGCTCAATGTCCAGATGGGGATCAGTGTTGAATGATGTCTGTCAGGGGTCTGTACTGGGACCAGTACTGTTTAATTTCTTCATCAGTGACGTAGAGAGTGGGATTGAGGGCACGCTTAGCAAGTTTGCTGGTGGCACCAAGCTGAGTGTCATGGTTGACATACCTGAGGGAAGGGATGTCATCCAGAGGGACCTGGACAAGCTCAAGAAGTGGGTTGTGTGAACCTCATGAGGTTCAACAGGGCCAAGTGCAAGATCCTGCACCTGGATTGGGGCAACCCCTGTTACCAATATAGGCTGGGGGATGAAGGGATTGAGAGCAGGCCTGCTGAGAAAGACTTGGAGGAAGATGAAAAGTTGGACATGAGCTGGCAATGTGTGCTCGCAGCTGGAGTAGTGTCCAGCTCTGGGGCCCCCCAACACAGGAAAGCCATGGACCTGTTGGAGTGGGTGTAGAGGATGGCCAAAATGGTCAGAAGGAAGGTACTGAAAGGCTGAGAGTTGGGGTTGTTCAGCCTGGAAAAGAGAAGGCTGTGGGGAGATCATATTGCGACCTTTCAGTACTTAAAGGGGCTTATATGAAGGAAGGGGACAGATTTTTTTAAGAGTTCCTGTTGTGATAGGACAATGGGTAATGGTTTAAAACTAAAAGAGGGTAGATTTAGATTAGAAATAAGGAAGAAATTTTTTATAATGAGGGTGGTGAAACACTGGAGCAGGTTGCCCAGGGAGGTTTTAGATACACCATCCCTGGAAGCAATCAAGGTCAGGTTGGACAGGGCTCTGGGCAACCTGATCTAGCTGAAGATGTCCCTGCCCATTGCAGGGATTTGGACTAGATGACCTTTATATGTCCCTCTCAACCAAAACTATTTTGTGATTCTGTGATTCTATGATATATGCATATGCATGTGTGTGTGTATGATTGCCTCAGGAAGATTAAAAGATGTGAAGGAGTGGAGCACAATATGAAAGTCTTCATGCTATGTTGTCTGTTGAGTGCCAGGAACCAACCTGTTCCTTGCACATTTTTACTGAGCCTTGCCAGGATAAACATAGAGACTATATAGGATGTACTAGGAAATGGTAGATGAATTATTCAGAAAATCACCAAGAAGAGCAGGAGGCTTTTTGTCTTTTCATGCATAGAAATCATGACTGGATGGTGCTCTGCAAATTCTGTGTTAGCCAAGCAGAAACTACTAGACTCAATAGAGGGAAATAGCTGGGTGAGATATTTGGACCGTGGTCCAGTTAGTGACATCATTACTGTCTTCAGCCAGCGGGCTGGTCTTTTCTGGGGTTTAAAAGGAAAACTAGACTCCTGTGCAGGCACTGCCTTTGCAAAAACCTTACCCATTGGTTCAGAAAAAGATGCAAGAAACTTCAAAATGTGTATTTTCCCTGGTGGAAAACAAACTGCAAGTTTTCATGTAGCTGCAAGAGCGATTTCTTCCTAAGTTAGTGCCTGGTTCTTCATTTCTAGGCAGAGATTTTTGGTTTTTCCATTATCATGACTTCTGACAGTTGGCAAGAAAATGCCTAATGGCCTCTCAGCAAAATAACATTGTTCCTGATTAAATCTGAATACACTTACTGCAAAGCAGAAGCAGTGTGTTCTGGGTTAGCCTGTTCATGCTACGCAGAAGGAAGGCACTTTTATTTGGAGCAAGAGTCCCTACATGTTGTTAATTAGGAGCAACTCCTGTTTAGACAAGCCCCCAAGAAAACTCTCCTGGCATTCATGCTTGCAAATACAGACTGTCTTTGTTTGTTGTAAGCATGAATAAGAGCCATGGATATCAATTTGTAAGTATTAAAGGGTTGCATATGCCTGTTACAGTTCATAGGCAATTGCTCAAATGCTTTCATTCTCATGTTGCTTTCTGCAGGGAGGGGAGACTGAGGCCCCAAGTGCAAAATCTGGTAGGTAATCTTGAATAATATATGGAATTATATATGGATGATGTACTGGTGTACACAAGATTGTTTTCTGGTCTTAAGCTATTAAGTTGTAGAGAACGGGACAACTTTTCACAGGCTTATTGAATCAAGGTGTCCCCCTGTCACCCCTTATTTGCCCTCTGCTCCCCCTTTTCCCCTCAAACTGGTCCGGGTTTGGCAGTGAGCTAATTCTTCTAAGCAGCTCTTGAGAAAAACTTCTTTTAGCAAGAGAAATGTGACTGGTGTCATTAGGTCTTTTCCAGTCATCATGTAGGCTAGCTGATCAAGAGTGATTAACATTACTTAAAGGGAAAACATCAAGGTCTGTTGGTGAGAAACCTGTTTCCCAATGCCAAGGGATAAAGAATTTACCACTTGACTTGAGCATTGATTTCAGTGTGTAGCTGCATTCACTGCTACATTTGTTTTCCTTTTTATCTGATTTAATTTGGCTCCTGATAAGTATTTTTGAACACATTTGTAGAATTCCTGCCTAAACCTTTGATTTGCATACTGCAATATATGCTCAACAACTTCACCTGAGGCTTTCATATTTGTAGTTTACACAAGGTACAATTTCAATTTATTGAGCTACTTCTCCTCCATACAATTTTGGTTTTGTAGAGGTGAGGGAGCCCAGAAGGATAGAACAGCATACACCATCAGGGAGAAGATATGAATTCCCTTTCTGTTCTTTATTCCAAATAAATTAGCCTGGACATAATTCATTATGGATATAATTGCTATAGACTGCAGAAGTTCTCACTTCCATTTGGAATTTGTGGATAAATTTGTTTTTTCAGGTTTCTTGAGGCTTATGTGGTCATGCTGTGTTTGACTTAATGATTTCGTAACATCTTAGCAAATTTGGATCCACTTTAGGAAGTGGGTGGAAATAATTAAGATAATGAAATTTCTATGAGTTTTATGAATATAGGCAAAAAGGTATATAGAGAGACCCTATAAATTCTCTGAGTGAGGAAAAAGGTTGTAGTGGGAACCTATGTACTTTGACATGACAGAGAACTTGAAATATTTATAAGCCCACCAACTGTAGGAAAGCTTTCAGTCAGAATTTAAGACATAAATACTCATTTCTGGGGCTCTTGGCTACTGGCTTTTTTGTGGAATGACAGATCAGTCCTGGCATACTCCTACGTGATGTTTGGACAAAGAATTTCATAAAAGGGAGTTTCCCTTTTGTATCAGATGAATTCCATCCATTTAGACTTACACTGATGACTGAGAGCTGGGTCGAGCCATCTGCATATGTATTATACACTCACTCCCTAGTTTTGTTCTTGCAGGTTATTGTGCGACATAAGACTGGATGAACATTAACAGAAGCTGGAATATATTTTAAATGTACAGCTCCATCAGACGTACTGATAATTGCATGTTCTATAATTAAAACTGTGTAGGCTTTTCTTTCTAAGTATGGCAACAGCTGTTAGAGCACATCTGGAAAATATGATTTAAGCAAAGGTATTTTAGCTTGGAGAATTTCATAATACATGGAATATTTACCAGAACTTCTTTCCAGAATGTTAATTGGATTTATCAGTATTTTTAATATAGAACTCTTCATTTTTTAATGATGTTTGCAAAGCTGATTTTGAATTCATATCACAGATTGGTCATTCCAGTGTAGTTCAAGGCTAAATGCTGCAAAACACACATTGCTTTGCTACTATTTTAAAGTAGAATCGTACGTAAGCCTTGTCTAATGCCCTAATAATATGTTCTTTAGTGATTTATTCACTGATTTCCCTTTCTTTGATTCTAAAGAGAAATAATTGTTTCATACTGCAATCACATTGAAAAGAAAATCAGTTGGACTCCTGCCCTATGTTTCTTGAGGCTCATATTAATTCCCTTCTACGCTATTTCCCTCTCTAGAAAATAGAGATAGTTATAACCCCAGCAATTAATACAGCATTACCTGGAGCTTCTTTGAAGTCAGTGAGAGTGTTTACAAGGTAGGATCCTGGACACTTGAAAATGAACAGCCCATCACTGTGGTTTCTATGGTTTCTTCAGAATCAAAAAACCAGAATTATTAAAATTATTAATTAAAATGGAAACAAGAAAGCAGAAAACTTTTAAAAACTTTAAAAAAACCTCTATCCATTAATTCATTGATAATATTACTCATTTTGTTCATTTGGAAAAATTGACTAAAAGTAAAGATGCAGAATCCCAGTAAAGTTACCTTTACTAACAAGGTAGTACTCTCATCAGGATCTTGCATTCTGTCTCAAGCATCTCAAAACCACCCAACCAAGTTGCTTTCAAGGTGATAGGGCAGATTTTGCAGTTAGACAGCATTTACCAACAGTTCCCCAAGTGAGAAATCAGGTCTCCTTTATTTGGAGTGGAAGGCAACTTTTAATGCTAAATATTATTGTGTTGGAACAACTTTGTGCCTGAATTTGAAATCATAAATGCTATGTTTTGTGCAGCTGGAGGCAAAATGCAGTTATCCAGCCAAAGAAGAATCTACATCAAAAAAATGAATGAGATATTAAAAAAAAAAATCTATGGCAATGATACCACAAAATTAAAGAGTTATGTGGAATGTATTAGTGGTAATGTGGGAAAATTAATTCCAAATTATTAACAGTTTAACTGACTTACAGGAAGTATTTTAATGGCCTTAGTATGCGGTGGTGTTCTTCATTTTTTAATCTTTTCTACTGGGCAGAAAACTACTTTTTCCAAGTGTGGGGTTTAAAGTCGTGATAAATGGTTGCTGTGGATTGCCTGGTTGTCAGAGTCCAGCGCTGGACATGTGATGGAGTCTCTTCCTCTTCCCTCCAACACCTGCAAAGCTCATCCTGTGAGCAGGGATTGGGTGCATCTGCTCCACTCTTGTCCCACTCTTGCTAGTTACAAAGGCTTTTTCTTTACACATGATATTCATATGATGATTTGACCCCAGGCTCCGACTGCATGAAGAAAAGGTCATTAAAGATCGGCGTCACCACCTTAAGACGTACCCGAACTGCTTCGTCGCCAAAGAGCTGATTGACTGGCTGATTGACCATAAAGAGGCCTCAGACCGAGAGACGGCAATTAAACTGGTGCAGAAATTATTGGATCACAGCATTATCCACCATGGTAAGTGCAACATCAGCTGATAAAAGGTTCTAAGCTAAATTTTATTGACTCCTGTGAAACAGAGAAATCCTGCTCCTGCTCTTCAACCAAGTATTGGATAGGTGGAATCCTTTCCCTGCCAGAAAGGGAGCATGTCCCTTGAACTGTGCTGCTCCACAAGGTCACCTGTGTCCTGAGGGGCATGGAGAGGCTGAAGAGGTGTGGAGTGACATTCCCCGTGTCAGTACAGAGAGGGCAAGTCACTGGAGACTGTGCTGCTGCTTCCCTTCCTCTGGAGCAGCCCCAGCTGGATCCTGTCCCCTCTCTTCCCACTGCCCTCACCTCCCTGCTCCCCAGAGCACAGTTTTCCAGCTGAAAAACCCATCTGAAAAATCAGCTGGAAAAAAAGGTCATTTTTCTCACGTGGATTAGTTCTCTGGCCCTGTCCCTCACACCAGCTGCACAAACATTCGTGCTGGTACAGCTGCAAGAAAGTTAGTGGTCTGACTGTGCCCTGATGAATTTTCTCCTAAACTTGTTGTCTATTTGAGATCTGTTCCTTTCAGCTTCTTGAATAACAATTTACGCTGATGAAAAGAAGACTTCCAATTCAGTGGTAGCATTTAGTTGCCTTTTGGTGCACATAAAGGCTAGGGAGCACACAAACAAAGAAGATCCAAGCCCTTGCTTTCAAATGTACAGTATTACCCATTTCAAAAAGGCAAAAGTACCATTTGTTTCTTTTTTAAGAGAAAACTGAGCAACCGCGAACAGACAAATATTGACTTTATGCAGGGGTCACTGTATGTGCAGCAATACTGCTGCTATCTGCAATATATTAACGACACCTTAATTAAAGTAAGAAATGCACATATTGAATGAGTGCCACTTCTACAGCTTCTTCCTGGCTATTAAATTAAAATTCTGGGTTGTTATGGAAACTGGGACTCACAGTAGATAGTTAAAGAATAAAGTAATTATAGGGTATTCAAATCTGACTACTTAATCCTCTATTGAGAAAATGTCAGTGAAGAGTTGCGTGGATGCCTGAGTGACTTAATTTAATCGAGCAATGGATGTTTTATCGCTGAATGCTTGTTTAAAGTTTTAACAACCTTCAGATGTTTTCTGCCTCAGGATCCAATTGCACACTGTAACTTCCATACAAATTTTATATATGTTTGTGTATATATTACTCACAGAACAGGTGTTTCTTGAAAGTGTTCACGTATTGCACTCAAATTTAATAAAATAGTTTGCGAAGTGAGCTAGTGTAAATTCAGAGAGGTTCAGTCAGGTTCTGTAGGATTCTCAGAGCATTCTTCCAACTCCTGTGTCAGGTAAAGGGTGTAGTGTACCCACTTCTGGGGTGCAGAAGGTCAGCCTATGTACGTGGGATGACAACTCTGCTAGGAGCAGCTTGGTTGGGATACCTTTCCCATTAGTTTATGCCCTTGCTGGAGCTCTGTTCTGCATTTACAAGAGCCCATCGTCAGCTGCTGTCTTCTAAACCTTATTTAGCATTTCTCACTGTGCTCCTGTGGTACCTACCATTTGCTAGCTGGCATGGCAGAGGAATTGAGACAATTTTAATAGAGCAGAATGCTTTGATTTTAACTGTTTCTGCGGCGAATCTCAGGTTTCCTACAGTATTGCTCAACTGATAAAAGTAACTTTAAGAAGCTTGCCAATACTTAAATTATTTGGGGTTCTACACTGGTGACCTTTTAAACAAACCATTTTAATCAAAAGGTTTTCTGGGTATATAGCAAATGGATGCTTTTTTGCTCTTCATGTTTGCAGTAATCCTCACAAAACTGATAAACACCTATCCCCCTCACCTAGAAATTTGGTTACGTATCTGAAAGATTTACCAGCCTTTCACTGGTGATTAGAACTGAATAGAGTTTTATGCTCAGAAATACAAGGGGTTAGGCTCCATATGTGCTCGCTTTGAAGTTCAGCAGTGATACCTTCTAAATGGATCCTCAGCTCCTTAACTTTGATATGAAGAATTTTTCATTTATTTTACATTTCAGTCTGTGATGAGCATAAGGAATTCAAGGATGTCAAACTGTTCTATCGCTTCCGAAAAGATGACGGGACGTTTCCCCTGGACAATGAAGTGAAGGTGTTCATGAGAGGACAAAGACTGTATGAAAAGTATGTTGCATTCAGTATCCATAATGTGTTGATAATAGTACCGAGGGAGGCAAATTATACTTCTTAATTTATTTTTGAATAGTCAGAGGCTTTCAAATCATGCAGGAATGGGTCTGGGTAATTCTGTTACTTTAGTTGGTAACTCTTCTCCCTCCTTCCCATTTCTCTTTTGCTTTTCTACTATGTTCACTTGTAGCATATTGTTTAAAATGATTTCCAGTATTTCCTGATGTTCTGGGTTGTAAATACATCCTATATGAGAACCCAGTGTAAATTTAAGCCCTTGCACTCTATTCTCCAAAAATAATTACTAAAGGATGACTTGTCATGTAAAACTGTAATCACAAGACCTAAACCGTTAGTACATCAAAATGCACCGAACAAGTGGCTAAAAATCTGTTGAGGCTCCATACCCACAGCTTCATCAGGAGGTATGATTTTAAATAATAGTGAAATTAATCTTCAGTGTTCCATTCTGCAAAGCTTCTACATCAGAAAGGTTATATTAAAAGTAGTTGCAAAAAAAAAAAAATCCCAGCCAAGTGCATCTAAGTAAGATTTGAAAGATATGATTATGCTGAGATACTGAATATCCTGCTGGATGACTTCCATCAAATACCTAGGCAGTTTAACCAAACTTCCCAATCTATAATTAATGGTATTTTTATTCAGCATGTAGAGTTTGTGACACGGTACTTTCATCAGAGAGAATGAATGCATGTTGGCATATGCTACAAACTAATGCAAAAATTGTGATGTGTTATTTACCAAAAAGCTTGAAGTATTGCTCTACACTGAATTCTACCCACTACTGCTCGGTTAGAGCAGAAGCGTGCAGCAGGCAGGAGACATGCTGTGTTTTCTGGCTGGAGTAATTTTGTTTTCCTCTTAGAATAAAGCACTCAGGAAAATCTCAAGTTTAAAAGCTGATAAATACTATTTTCAAGGTTACAAGGGTCTGAAGGTCAATTTGGTAAAAGAGCAATTAAACTGAAATATAAACCAGTAATTGTAAAGGCCACTCTTTTTGTTGCATCCATCATATAAACTCCCTGAGACTCAGTGACTGTGACTATTTAAAAAAAAAAAATACATCACATAAGACACAAGAAAATACACCACTGGAAAAAATCCTTCACTGGGACAGATGAATTGAATCACCCACCTCCAAAATCCTCTGTGCCTTACTAAGCTCAGCATTTGCTCCTTTAGACTCCGTAACACGCGGCACCTGCAATCCTGACCCATAGTACCATAAGCCAATCAGTGTGCTTACAGTAGCAAACCTTTTTTTTCTAATTGTTTTTTATATTTCTTTTTCTGTTCTCCTGTGAGACAAATAATTTTTTGTTGGTGAGGCTGATAACAGTCCTCTGCATGAAAGAAGCCATAGTGGAAAGAACTCTGTTCTACCAGTGTCCACTTCCAGCCTCATTTCTCTGCATGGAGAACTATACCCAAGCCAATGTCTAGTGTCCAGTTTGTCCAACACCATACCAGCAGAAAAATGTTCATAACACTATGGATTGTTCCCATCTTGGAAAAGGAGTTAATGCCAAAAGCAGCATCTATATCTAAATATAACTGCACCCTCATGAGGTTGTTTCTCCTTGGCAATTTATCTAAAGGGTTCAGAAACTTTTAAAACCAACCCTGAGTGCTAAATATAGTCTAGAGCAAAAGTATATGTCATTTCAAAACCAGTCTGTGACAGCCAAAGCTAGTAAAAATTCTCCATGGATCACTGGAAATATTTTATATTCATGTGAGATAAGAATGCATACCTGGGCTATCTGGGCTTCACTTTGTTTATTGTAGCAAAGCCAGCGTGCAGAGCACTTGGGTTTCATTAGGTGCCTTGTCCATGCATGCTTATTAGCAACAATTTCAGTTTCACTGAATGCATTTTAAACTCAAAATCTAATACTGAAAGGCTACTACAGAAAGAATACATCCTACATACTACATTTCTGCAGTGAAATGTGTGTATGTCTATGTGTAATGTATCTGTTGTATTAGTTTGCTGATATTGTTGAAAAAGAAAATATTAATTCAGTGCAATTAAAATAATTATTAAATGGCAACAACCAGAGAAAAGTATTCATGCACAGATTTGAAGTCACTCACCAGTATATTCAACTTGTTTATCAAAATGTCTGTAGGCCTAATTTCAGGAGAAATGCAGCTATGCCAAAGGATATCTATCTGAATCCAACATATTTTAAAAATCTGTCTAATTTTGTGGATGTTCCTGATCTTCACTACACTTTGCTAGTTTGAGATAGACATTACAGTACTGTTTCCTGCTCTTCTCCACCCACCCCATTAGGGCTGGAGCACTGTTACAATCAGAAGCCAGCGTGGTTTGTATGTGACAAAATTGCAAACATGTTATCCAACATCAGTCCATGCAGATCTGTACCCGCAATGGGTAAAATGAGCAAAATGCTTTAGGAGGCTCAGCAGGTTGTTGCATGGGCAGAGGAATGGATGCGTTAGGTAGGTTCCCTGCATTCAGAGAGCTGTTTTGGGTAAATGGCCTGTGCTCCCCTCTGGAGCACGGGAGCAGTAGGGCTGTTCCCCACAGAGAAGGTCCCTTTCCCTGTCTCCCTTCTGTGTGACCCCAAAGCTCCTCCTAGCCTGAATTCTCCTCCTTTGTGGCATTACCTCCTTCATCTACTGTGAACATATTCAATGTCTGTACCTTAGTGATTACAAGATTTAAAATCTATCTCTGATAGTATTCTCCCTTCATTTGCACTGAAAATCATAAATCAGTTCAGATTCCCTGCACGTAATTTCAAACTTTGGTAATCCTTTCTGTGAGCATGCTTTGAGCTTCAAGTTTATAACTAGAGATGAAACCTACTGGATTTCCTACAGTCTTGTCTGGAAATTCTTGAGTAGTTTACTAGGTCCAAAGATGGTATCAGTTTTCATGCTCTACAGGACTGACCGAATAGATTGCATGAGATAAACACGTTTCCCATTCAGCAAAACCCTCCCTGCAAATCTTAAATAAATCCAGCAAAGACCTTTCATAGCTTTTCTTTTTTTTAACAAAATCAAGTTGTGCAAGCATCCTATTTTTATGATGTTTGCAATTCTCAGTAGGTTTTGGTCAGGCACACATTGTTGTTTCTGGTGCAGTTGGGTTTAGGAGCTATAAGTCATCTCATGATGCTGACTTCAGCTGAGATGTTTCAACCAGATTTCATAGTGAATGAAGTGCAGATTTATGGTTTTAATTTCAGGAAATAATTCAGGTAATTTTGAGACTGCATTCTTTGAATCACTTCCATTTTAACTTAATGGTGGTTAAGTCAAATTTATCCTCTAGTGCAGTTATTTAGATAAAACAAAATTTTCTTTGGAAAATGTTTGGATTTCAGTGTTTGGCTAAATACCTTCCATTAATGCAGGATAACACCAGTTTTAGCAAATAATGTGTTTTGACATGAATAGCTTCATGGTTTTTTGAAACAAGGAGAAAATGGAAGAGTTAGAGACAGTTTCCGATTCTGGCTAATGAAAGGCCAGGTTTTTGGCTATGTAAATTGGTGCAGCTTTGTTGACAGCCATGGAGTTACAGTGATTTACTTCAGATAGCGATGTAAGTCTATGGATTGCTGTTTCTGGGTTTGTTAAACTGTCAATTTGTCATGTCTGTTTGTTCACAAGTCCAAATCCTTTGCAGTGCTATTCTGGGCACACACAGAAGGGTGTGAAATGTCAAGCTGAGTGTTTTTCCACTTGATATTTTTCCAAATTTCTTTTGTGTCTCTGTAAAAATCTAACAATTAGCTTCTCTTTTTCAACGACCTCTCTATCTTCGACTTCAGTGAGTTGGTCAACTAATTATAGACTCATCAAAGAACAATTAACACAATCCTAAGGATCTTTTATTTGTTGTCTGCTGAGCCTGGGTAACCAGTTCTGGGTAACCATGTAGAAAATGGTACAAAACAACACGATCTTTGGGTTTGAATTTTTTTCTGGGGGGGAGAAAGCCTGGTGAATGAGACACATTTAATGATGGTCCCTTGGAGCGCTGTCTCTATTAGCTGTGGTTAGTGTGGAACAAAATGCTGTCTTGCAGGCAGATGCTTGTAAAACAAAATATGAAAAAGAATAAAGTCTGGAGTCAATACCTTGTCCCCTGTGGCACATACTCTTGCTTTTGGCCTCATCCTTCAGCTAATTTTGACTTCCTTAGTCCTTACCCAGTTCAGAGGTGCTGGCAATGATGCACCAACATCTAAGAGCACTCTTATATCTGCCACTGACATACAGCTGTGGCTGAGCAGCCTTTGCCTGGTTTGATGATCTGTTGCCTGGTGGTCAGATCCAGTCAGTTGAGGCTCCTGGTTAGCTCTTGTTAAAGTCAAGGGAATAAATCTTTCAGGTGAAATCACAAGGGCTGGGTCCTGTCAAACCTCCTCATTGTAAATTCAAGTGAAAATTTTGTCTATGTTCTTATGGCACAGACTTTTCTGATACCTCCCAAAATAGGTGACATTATATTCCACGATCTCTGGACTTGCTGGCTCTTCAAAAGCGATGGCCCATGTATGGATTCAAATTCAAAGTTTGATCAGAAGGGCAAAGCTTTCAGTATTTTCCTGTTGTTGTTCAGTTGTGTCCTTTATTTCAAAAGGGTGAAGGGAAGGGGCTTAGTCTTACATGGAAAAAAAACCCTCATGCCATTCTTGAGCTGTTATTTTAAGTCTTACCACTAGTCCTATTACTAAACTATACTAAATAAAATGATTATGAAAAAAAAAATATTAGTAAATATGGAGGTTATGGTGCTCAGTCTCCCAACAAAACAAAAAAGAAGTAGGATTCTTTATAGAAAGGGAGTGATTCTTATTTCTTCTTTCAAATTGTCTTCTCAGTCAACTTTACTGTTGCATTAACAAACTACTGAGACTTTTTTTTTTTAATGCTGGATCATTTATGTATGTTACTTGAATGGAAAATAATTCTATTAGTGTATTTAAGCTAGGTACATACCAGTAGCTAGGAGATTTAGAGACACCTCAAGGTGTCCCTCTGAACTCTGGTGTTACATGGAACCAACTGAGGCAGAGACTCTGAGACTCAGATGTCAAAATGAGTTCAGGTGTGAAACTTCATTGATTGCAGCTGCATCACTCTGTTGGATGCTAAACATTTATTAACCACCAAAACCACAGAACTACTTTTTTTTTTTCCTCTTGAATTTTTCTGCAGCTGTTCTGAAGCTTATGGGGAGAATTTTCAAACCACCTACATGACTTCAGGGCATAGTTCTGCTAACTGTAAAAATTAATTTTTGAACACATTAGTCACAATCTGGTGCTTTTAGACTAATTTTGTTTCCAAGTTGATTATACATTGACTTTTAGAGAATCTAAAGAACTAAATAGGTGAAATGTGAAACTGAAGAACTTTGTTTTCTTTTAGGGAAAAAACAAGAAGGCAACAACTTCACACAGGGATATAAAGCCTAATTTTTGGACTAAGCAGTTATAATTCACAACCTAAATTTAGATTAATAGACTGAGGAAAGATTTAGTAATCAGTGAAAGGTTCACATATGTTTGCTTAATATCAATGAGGTTTGCCAGAATAGATCTGGAGTTGCTTTTTGAAGAATCATTTTCACTACCAATTTTCCCCCGCCCTGTAACAGGCTGATGAGTTCTGAAAATACCCTTTTGCAAGCCAGGGAAGAGGAAGGAGTCAAGTACGAACGGACCTTTGTGGCATCAGAGTTCATTGACTGGCTGATCCAGGAAGGAGAAGCCACGACACGGACTGAAGCAGAGCAGCTCGGCCGCAGGCTTTTGGAGCACGGGATTATACAGCACGGTGAGAAATCTACTGCCAGGTAGCAAAAGCTACACTTTTTAAAGTACTTTCTTCAGGTTGGATTATGTGGAGGGGCTCTTGTCTTCTTCATCATAGTATGTCCAAGTTCTAAATAATTTCAGGAAGGAGTCTAGCTAACTTATTTAATAAAAGAGTGACTTTTTCAAAAGCTTGTCTTAGTTCTGAAAATTTTGCCTCAAATGCAGAACATAGCTAGAATTTGAGATTGCATAAACAACATAAAGATGTGGATGAAAATCAACTCTCGTATTCTTGTGGTAACTAACTTGTAAAACTTGTTACCAGCAATACGTAGAATTAAGGTAAATAGCTTTGTAAGGAGCAAGTAGGGATTAGAGTCATAAATTTTCTATGTAGAATAAAAATGACAGGTTCTGTATATTGTCCTACTTGAGGACAGGAGCAGAGCACAATCCAGTGCTAGAAAAGCACCTTTCCTCTTAGTCATGTTGCAGAGTCATTCTAGAGTATTTGGGCAAGAAAGAGGGTATCGCTTTCAGCTGAAGTGTTATTGTATTTGTCCTGGTGTGTAACTTTTTGAGGCAGGAATGAAATATTTCTTTGTGGTCCATCACCTTGTGGCTGGCAGATGCACCTTCACCTAGGAGCTCCCTCCATTAAGGGTGGAGGAGACACTTTTCTCTCTACTGCCCTGAGGGTGAAGAAGTGAACACCCCTGGCACTAAAGACTATTTTACATGTTGTCATAATTTACTCTCAGTGCAAGTTGCCCTTCTCTGACCACACGTTCTCCACCATAAACATGTTGAGGGGCATTCTGGGAGTGATGAAGGGGTTCCCGGAGATGGCAGAACAAGCTGGCAGTAGCTGTTAGCTACGTTGCTTAATGCATAACGGGAAAGTAAGCAGATCCTGGTCATCCAAATGTTGTCACATCAACACTAATTCTGACAGAGAACAAACAATTCGTGGTATTAACAGGTTGTTAATATACAAGCTGCTAGATTGACTAGGTTGATTGTTGCTTTGTGAGAAACGTCATTTTAAGGAAAAAATGGGGGCATAAGCGACCTGCACAGTTCCTTTATGGTTGTAATCATGCTCACATTATCTTTAGCTTCCAATTACTAGGAGCTACTTCTGAATGTTTACAGTAATCTTCTTCCAGTTCTATAATTACCTCTGTGCTTCCTATGATTTATAGAATGCCAACTGCTTGGAGCTTGATGGACAGGGAAGGTATGCCACCCCTCCTCTTTATAGCAGCAATGATTTCATTCCTATTTTTACCCAAGCGTTTTCTGTGTATTATATACAATGTAAACTTTCCTAAAAAAAAAAAAAAAAAAAAAATGCTATTGGTGTTTTTGCAGATGAAATAAAGTCAGAACTTGACATTTGGTGCAAAGATGGATTTACTTTGGTACTGAAATCTCTGCAGAGCTAAGAAAGTCAGGATGTGGCTTTAATTGCAGATCAACCATTGTTTCATTAACTGAGGCAAATGCTCAGCAGTTCACCTTGTCAGGGAAATAATTTAGCCCTTGTCAAGATGGGTTTCTGGGGAGATTCCTGAGGGACAGTGGCCCTGCTCACCTTTATGGATTGCCCCAGCCAGTTTTGCAGATTTGTCCCCTGCCCATCCTCTTCTAGCAGACAAGAACACATGCAAAGGGTCTTGTTACGGAGAGGTTTGAAACTCATGAAGTGACTGCAAATGGGGCACTGGGAATTGGTTGATGGCTGAGGAAATGTCCTTCTCACTCCAAGGTACCATCATCTTCCTCACGCAGCTTTTATCAGGGCAAAGGTAACTCAGTGGGGATTTCATACTGATTTGATGAGGAATCTGGAAGTAAAACATCACTGCGTGATGTCCTTGAGATTTATCTTTACAAGTGGTCATGCTAAGAAAGAATTCTCCTTTGGATTTCACTGATGTGTCTAGGTAGTGTTAGGAATAAAGATGCGGGTACTATCAAAATTAACACAGAGCTGATTTGGGATTCACCTTAGCAACTGAATACAATCTGTGCATTTTGAAGGTTCATGTAATGCTGGCTTCCTCTAAGAAGGGAGCTTGAAATGAAAACCCCCAGTATAGAACTGGAGTTATAAACTGTAAAACGGCAGGTTTGGTATTCTCTTTTTTTCCCCCCTGTCTCATTGAATTCCAATTACCAAAAAAACCCAAGGGTATTTTTCTATCTTTTAGTACAGTAAATTCTTTTCATCATACTATGCACCCTTCGTTTTGTATCTCATCAGCAGTACCAAAATGTTACTTGACACTAATTGGCATCCTCTTTGGCAGAAACAGCAGAAAGACTCTTGACTGTGCCGGAGTGGAGAATAAAACATTTTCCTACCCTAAAGGCAATCTTTTGCTAGCAGTATTGTTTGATATCCACAATACAGAATAAAAACCCCCTTACTCTACTAGTCTTATGAAGTATTTATTACCTTACCTAATGCAACAGAAAGTAATAGAAATAGTTACATCAGGTTGGAAATCTCAGTAGTAATTTTCCAGCCACAACTGAATTGTGCAATTTATTTTTACTGATACTGACTTTCATTTCAATTACTCAGAGAAGCTCTATTCTGCAGCTGAGGTACTGTCTTCAAAACAGCTTCCTGACACGTTTATCTTCACTTTAATTGGTCAGACACAAACGAGGTTTCACACAGGAAACAAACACTGATGCTAATTTTAAAAAGGAAAACAGTGGTTTAAGAGGAATTGCATAAATGCTGTAAAAACATCAAATGTTTCAGTTTAAAAATAATCTCCGTGATCTCTTTGGGCATATGTAACTATACATATTTCCCCTGCCATGCATGAAAATGATGAAATGTGCTTAAGAGCTGAATTGCTTCCTTCCAAAATCCCACTGGTGCATACAAATTGTAATCCACAAACCACCATTTTCACAAATAGGAACCAGATGTTTGTTCCTGTGGACTGGTACCCCCAGGTATTATGGAATAATAATAATAAAAAAATAAGGTGCAGTATTATGCACTGTATATTTCTTGAAGGCTTGTGTTGTCAGTGTAATTGCCAACACAATAGTTTTTCTGCATTTGTGAACACTGATGGTCTTCCTCAGAATATAGGAATAAAGACTGTGCGAAGAATTATAAACATGGTGATGCACATACAATAAGGGCAGGGATAAAAGGCATATAGAACACATTTCTCAGCTGTAGAAAAGTCCATTTCTACTATGGTGAGGTATGTAGACCTTTGTAATATTAACAGATAAATCTTTCATCTAGGAGACTGGATCCTTCCTAGTTCTTCATATGGAAATGGTGAGAAAGATTAGCTACTGTGGTCAAAATTCACATGCAGCAAGAGAAGAATGAAGTTCTCTTAGTTCTCTTCCAACTCCAGAGTAGATCAGACCAAAGAAAGGATGGGCAGGGGGCAGGCAGAGGACAGTGTGAGCATCCAGTCACAGTCACAGCCCTCGCTCAGTCTGGAAAACAGAGATGCTGAGATGTCTAAGGAGGAAAGAGGGTTTCCACAGAGCTCTTTCTAGAATCCTTTTTGTGGCTCGTACTTGTGCATGGCACGTGTTTGAGCAGTTACCCTGCACCTGCAGCCCCAGCAGCAGAGCACCACTGACATGACAGGCTAAGTCCTCCTGTCCTCCTCCAAGGACTCGGGTACGGAAGCTCGGGGTATGGCAAAATGTCTTGCCTGCCTTGCAGAAAGATTTAAGGTCTAGAATCTCAGGTGGTAAATACTTTCCATTTAAAAATCTGGTTAATACTGTTAAGAAGAACCTATGCCTTCTTAGGATAGCAAGTTTGAAAGATGAATATTTGCCTTTCCTCTGTGGCAGTGACCAAATCATAGCACATTTAGAAATACTTTTCAATACGTTGTGGAGTGTAAACACGTATGAATTGCCGGGCGCTGCAGACAGTATAGCATGTGCCACTCTCCTGGTCGAGTCTACAAGAAGTGTGGGTCTTAACCGCAGGGCTCACCTACTTGTGCTAGATCACATTCTCTCTTTTGCTGTTGCTGTTTCCCAGGCTGTTGCCTACTTTCAGGTGCGCATGCTTGGTGTTATTTCCTCTCTGACATCCCTCCAGCACCTTCCCCAGGCAGTGACCGCAGCACGGTTCAGCACGAGGCAGTTTGTGTGGCTGTCCACTCTGCTCCGGGCGGGCAGGATGCAGATTCCCAACCTCAGACCAACAGAGGAACACGTGTGTGATTGTTCTGGAAAGGCCATAGGCTTTGCTTTCCTCAATGAGGGAGGGGTGGAAAAATCTCTTCTGGCTAGCAGGTATCTTCTTTGAAACATTTTATTAGTCCTAGGATTTTATAATGGTAGGAAATATGTGGTAAGATGTCGTAGGCATGATATAAGTGTCTTCTGCCCCCACCCTCCTTTAGAATACCTTTCAGCTTAAAAAAAAAATTGAGTTAATTGCACTTGGCCAGACCTGGTGCATTCAAGGCAGGCACATGTTCTGCTGACTTAGCACAGAAGCCGGTGCTTACCACCTCTCAAGAGTTAATCTTTTATCAGCAAAATTCCACCCTGCAAATTACTTTCAGAGATGAAAACAAACATTTTGTAGTGACATAGTGAGAACAATAAATATTGACATACGCTATCTCACTGTCTCTGCAGAAAAGCCTTAAAACATTTAATTTTCACTATTCTTTGCAAGGACTCTGTACATTTATACAGCAAAGTTTCCTTTAACAAGGTGATCAGTGCATTTGGTTTTAAGCATCGAGATACATGATGCAGTTGAAAGTTTGTTATAATTGTGGAAGTAGATTAACAATATTTTTGCTTTCATGGGAAAATCTCTCATCTAAAATTGCTGTAAATTGTGAAGTATGTGTTGTTACATTTACCTTAGATGTCCAATTGCTTATGATTAGCTGACATTTCTTACTTTGTAAATGAAAACTTGCCATATATGTGAAATAAGCACTTCTTCCTTAATTTGCGATTTTTCTTTGGAATGTCTTTTCTTCAAAT